ATTTTCATTAAACTGGTTTTAAACGTTTCTCAAGTGGCAGAACAGACCGACAATTTCTTTAGATGACAATTATTTCAAAAACCATCTCTCTTGCTAAGAAAAGTGCAAAATCCTGACTGTCCTAAACGCAATTCCGCCCGATGATCCACAACCAGCACGGCTCTGATCCACCAAGAAAGTTCGACAAAACTATTTCTAACTGGCGTCAGTTTTAGCTCGCACTCCCAACCAAACTAAAACTAACATTTTGATTCCCTTATTTAATCTCTCCCTTTCCGGTGCGCAACTGTTTGATTGTGTGGTTACTCTCTGGCCCCCGCAGGCTCCGACACAAACAGAGCGATAAACAGAAACAACCCCGACGAACAAGCCTCTCGATGCAAACAGTCATCTAGCCAAACATCTATGGGGCGAGCACGACTCGAATCAAAGCGGCGCCGGGTTTTTATCTCGGCACACCAGAGCCCAATAAACAGCTGTTTCCTCGGGCTGCGTCACACTGCAGGATGTGTCAGTATCAGTAAGGCCTCAATAATCAGACAGCCGACAGATGACAGAACACTCGAGACTCTCCTGAGGCGTTTTGGACTATTACACACAGCCGACGGGGCTCTTGGCTGCGTCTCCTCAATTTCTTATTTTTTTAATTTTAATTTACTTCTTCTTTTCTCTCATCACTTTCAGCCTCTCCTGCCGGCACGCTGCAAACCAGACAAACACACACGGATTAAGACGAGCAACGCAAGCCAGCGGATATTCGAGCCCCGGAGATTATTCGCCAACCTTTCACCCCTCAGCATAAAATCTGCCGCACAGCGACGGGCAGAGCTTAAGACCTCATTTCTCCCGAGCAGCAGCAGCAGTCTGAGCCTCAGCTTGACCTTGGCCAGAGGAGAGCGTGAGTCATTAGCATGGAAAATCGTCTGCCTTGCAGTCTCACTGATGAATGTAAACATTACACAGCTTGGCACGGCTTCTAAGCTCCCCTGGAGATGCTTGCATCACCCCCTGGGCCAACGCCAAATCTATTTACAGGCTCACGGATGCACTTTTTTCCGAAGGAGATTCATCATTAACAGCGCTGAAAAGGTCTTTTAGTGGGTTTAACGTTAAAGAAATGAACCCGGATGAAATTAAATCATCAATATCAACCTCTTGCAAGACAGTCTGACATGTGGGCACTAAAAAATTGCATCCGTAAGCAACTGCTTAGCATCCAACTCCGTAACTAAAGGCATCTTCCTGCTGTTATCGCTCTTTCTGGTTGCAGGCTTTCCACCAGCCTGCGAAACCTGGCAGCAGAGACGTGGCTCCATTTGGCCACGAGAGCATCAGTGAGGTCCAACACTGATGTTGGGCGATAAGGTCTGGCTGACAGTTCCAGTTCAGCCCAGAGATGTTGGATGGGGTTGAAGTCAGGGCTCTGCCCAGGCTACTAAAGTTCTTCCAACACATCAAACTGGGAATTTCTTTATGGATTTCTCTTTGTGCAGAGGCCACTGTCACGCTGAAACCTAAACTGCTGCCACAATGTTCAAAGGAAACTATTGTTTAAGATCCCGTTGCATGATGTAGCATGAGAGACCCTCTCTGGTTCATGATCAGACCCCTACAGACTCCCCCCTGTGCATCAGAAGGCCTGTACCTGGGGACGTGTTGTCATTTACAAATTAACCTCCTCGGCTTGTTTCATGTGGCGCATTTGCACAAGATAAACAGCACCCAAACTCACTGACATTATCAGTGTATGAGATGCTAAGAGGAGCCACATAGCGACTGCTGAGCCAGAAGAAAGACAACAAAATGTTCCAGATCTCATGCATATCCTCCATCTAACCCTTCTCCTGTCCTACTGAACTGGCACCCGAACACCCATCTATAATTCTCAAGCAAGAAAGAGGCAGAAAACAACAAAACCTTGGACAAAAAAGCAGAAAATTACCTCTATTGGTAACACATTACCTATGTGTTTGGCAAAATATGGAAGACAATCCTCGGTGGAATCTTTATTTTGGAAATTATGGACAAAAAAAACAATAAAAAATCACCTCCACAATTATTATAAATTACCAGTGATCCCGAGTTAATACTAGTCCTGTGTGAATAGGGCTAATGCTGCATATTTATAAGCTTATTTCCATAAAATAAAAAAGCACTAAGAATATCCTGCCTTTCACTATATCCATCTCTTCCCACTCGCTGCAGCTCGAGCACACCAGCTCACCTGCTCAAACACTGTAACACAACACATTTTTCAAGATGTAATTGGTTCCTTATGTTGATTACACCAAAAATGTGTCTTCTAACATGTAAAAAACACCATGTGGACACACTAACAAGGCACAAATATTGATTTTCTTAAGTATGGGGCACTTTTAAGGCTTCTAATTACTGGAACGAAGGGGCCGAAGCCACAGGTTTTTTCGAGCACATACTGCCTAATTAGTACAGAAAACCAAAGCAGCCATAACAACCACCCTAACCCTGTTATGTTGTTTTTAATGTTTGCTATTTTAATCGGCATAATCAAATTGCTAATTCCGCCAACAGTTTCTCGAACACAGCGAATGTCGGCTTCAGCGTTGCGCTGCACGTACATCCTCTCTTCACGGTAAAATATTTCGACATCACATCACACCACCTACTTACGGCACAAAATACAATTCTGTTGTTCTATGATTCACTTTTATCTCAACATTATGAGGGCCGATTCTGTGTTTTATCTCCGGCTGAAAGATTTATCTGGTCAATAAGTGATGAGTGTAAATTACCAGGCCTTCAGCAGCCCATAAATATGAGTCGGGGGGTCAGAGACTGCAATAACGCTCTGATTAATGTTTAAATTGCTGGGAATGCAGGAGGGGGGATCGCTCTTGACGGATGGACGCGGTTTCGAATTTCAGCGGCGATAAGAGGAGCTGTGGGCGGATAATGTTAAATGAAAAAACAATCAACATATAAAGTCAAGTGACCTCGAATGACCTCTAAAGCCTCGGAGGTCTCCAGTGTGGCGGAGACAACGTTAAACGGATGCGTTTCCTGCAGGATTAACAGCTCGTCGTGAATCACTGGCTGTCTGTATTTCTGCCGTCTGTGTTGTATCCACGAGTCTGCAGCTCCCCATCTCCCGCTCGCTCCGTTATTAAAACGCCGTTCCACTGGAGCAGAGCGTTCACCCAGTGCAGCAGATACAAACTCATTAGCCGAATGCTAACGCAGTCCCCGTCCTGATTTACACTTCGAGGCGCGCAGGTGAGCTTTGATCAGCCGTGTTGACGCTGGGAGAGCACTTTGACATCTGTATCGCAACGTGCAACACGCCGCCGCCGCCGCCGCCGCCGCCACGGAATTAATGCAAATCAACCGATGTAGAACATTCATTCATTTTCGGGGCTGTGTAAAGCAGAAGCAAATTGACAGAATATCCATTTTTAATTTACCTGCAGGAAATCAAGCGCTACACGCCAAAAATACTAATGTGGCTGCAGACGCTTGGGAGTCATACTGTCTCATGTCATTACTCTTCGGTACATGTGTCGCTGCAGTGCTCAGATTAAGACTAATGGGGATAAAAAGAGGAGACAAGAAAGACGTTCAATGCGCATATTTTCCCTGTTTGTCGTCGTGATTTGAGCTCCTTTCCGCTAATCTGATGGCATCTGAACGTGTCGGCTTCGGGTCCGAATAAATACCCTGGTCATGGTTGTGTAAAAGTTGCAACAGGCCCACTTGGCAAAACTTCATGCATTCACATGAACGGATAGGACTGCAGGTTTGATGAGCTTACAATAATGATTAGCGAGGTCAAGTTCTGGAGTATATGGGAATGCATTTACGTGCACACTAATGAAGCAACAACCTGCTGTGAGGCTGAAAAATCTCTATGATGAAAAAATATATATTCTGAGTGAATAAACGGATGAGACTTTTGCAGCAAAATAATATTCTGGCAGCTGTGATGGAGCTCAGGACTCAACCTGAGGATCGCTGCTATGCAACAAGTACTTTGACTGTAGCTTTTACTGTAAGTTTAGGTTGTTGTACTGTCCAGTCTTGCAAATATGTAGAATAACAGGTCTCTCTGTCATCTCTGCCAACATTAATGTATACATCCGAATAACAGGATACTGTCATTGTCATTTTAAAAGACTGATGGAGCCAGAAATGTTACGTATCCCATGTCTGAAAACTCACTTGAGAAGTATTATTTAAGAAGACAGACTCAAATGTCTGCATGGTAAATATCCATCAAGCAGCCCCGACATTATAACCCCTGATGGGTAAAGTTCTAACAATGATCATCTTGTTTTAGTGCACCTAAATATTGTTCTAAACCAAGCACACCCTGATGTGAAAGGACTCCACCAGCCACACAAAACACCCTAAGCGTCCAAAGGAGTCGACTCAGCCTCCAAACTCCCAAGATCCCAAACTGATTGAGCATCTGCCCCATCTTGCAACCCCCGGGCTCCACTACTCGATGCCAGACACCACAAGACAATTCAGAGTGAATGTGTCGGCACGAACAGAGCCTACATAAAATTAAACAGGTGGTTTAAGGTAGTTAGCTTAGCTTCGTTAGCAACACATGCCTCCACCAGCCTCTAAAGCTCACTATTCGGCACATATCTTGTGCCATAAAGTGCACCACGCTAGCTTTTCCCTATTATCATCCTTAAAAACATGAAACAAATACAGTGTTAAACTCTTCTGGGGGTAAATAAAATGTTTTTTGTACATTGGTTGGGAAAAAAAACTCCCATTAAAATCAAAATATTCTTTAATGGAGCAGTTTGGCATTTTAGAAAATAGGTGTACTTCCTGTTTTTTTTAACCAAAGGTTTTCTCTCTATACCTGAGAGACTTCATAAAATACATGAAAACATTTTTTTTTTAGCTTAGTACTCAACAGACCGGTATTTCACAACAAAGCAAAAGTGATATTTCCCAAAATGTCAAACTTTGCCGTCAGTCCCGACATGCTTCTTTCTTTGCGTTACCTTCGTACAGCCAATCGCTGAGCCCGTTGAAGATGACGCCCTCTTTGCCGGTCGACACCAGACGAATGGAGCGGCTCTCCACCTTGGACCGATAGTAGATGTTGTTCTCAAAAATGAAGATCTACAAGAGCCACAAAGAGAGAAAAAAAACGCATTAAAGTCTAATTATGAACCATGATTTTAAACTTTCTTTCAGCTCATGTGTCCTTCCTGCCACATTGATTCGTAGCTGATCCTGACTGGCAGCCTTCACACTGGGAATTTCCCGAATAAGTTTTGTTGTTGCCGTCGACACACACGCAAGAGGACAGCGCGGTATTTACCCTGAAACACAACATCGCAGGTGGGCGACCTGGGGGGAAAGCAGAGGCCTTGATATCACCGGCGAGATCAACCTCGGGGTCAAGAAGCGCATTAGCATGGTGCTTCTTCAGCTTGTCCCGCACCGGAGCAGCATACATATTTGCAACAGCGCCTCGTGACGAGAAGGAAACCGGGGTTTTTCGACTTAAGTACAAAGAGAGAAAAATAAGTCTTTTCAATTTCCGATAAGACGGCACACCTTGGGACCAGATTTTGACTTTGACGTTCTCCTCCGCGGGGCCTGCGGGGCTTTCAAGATAACTGAAGGTCAACTCTTTCATTACAGAGAATAATAGATCATCAGCACCCACGGTGAACTAGGCAGGGCGGGGCGGCTCTCGGGGGCTGGAATTTTAAAATGTTACAGCGTTAATGCCATGCTGAAATCAATCTCAGGCTATTACAGAAAAGGGCTCACTCTGTATCTCAAGGATTATGGAATCTCTTGGCCTCAAGCAGGTATCATGGTATCGGTTTGTGAGTGATTCTCCGACAAATATTCACTCTGAGCAGCCTAAATGATGAAGCTCCCCTCAGCAGGAAGCCCAATCTTGTAGCTGCATACGACTGCCGCATGTTGATTTTTTATTTTCCTTCTTCCCGCTGCGTTAAAAAAAAAAAAAAAGGAGTCTACAAAGAAAACACTATCGCATGAATCCATCTCTCTATACCCTGCGCCTCAGCAATGAGCCATTTAGCATACAGAAAGACAAATTAACTGAGAGTTTCTGCTGCATCTTTTTTGGAAGTAACACAGAATCGGTTACAACTAGCCTCTCCTGAGAAGCTGTGGGCCTCGTGTGCTTCGGTGTCACTTCGGTGCAGATGGAGTCCCTGTATAGAAGCTAATCTAGGCCACAGCACAGAGAGAAGACCTGGCCCCGTTCTCTGAAGGAAGGAGGGAAGGAAGGAAGGAAGGAAGGAAGGAAGGAAGGTAGGACTCTGCCGGCGAGAATATTTAGAGCAGATTACACAGAATCTGGAGACTCTGGTTTGTTTGGACCACTGAAACTTATTCAATTATTAAGCGACCTGTGGTGAGGTCGAGGTAGAAGAACGGAGCTCGAGACGGATGCTCAACCCACTCGGGGAAATTTAAGAAAACTCTCGCAGCTTGATGTTCAGCGTCTTTCCCAAGGACGCTTCGGCATGTGGGGGCACCAGGGATCAAACCGTCAACCTTGAGATTGCTGCACCATTGGACGAGCCATAAAACTGTAATGCTGACAGACTAAAGGGAAGCACAGGGGCGGTGAACCGACTCACCTCGAGCTGCTTTTTTTTTCTGCTTAAGTGCTAGTTATGTAATGCTAGCATGCTAAAAATCAATAGAGTCAAGCGTATCTATACTTGGGGTCGCATTTTTTCCAAATTATCTGCATTTATTTCTTTATTTTCTACCAATTTCTAATAAAATAGTGGAAAAATCTAAAAATATAGTCTTTATTTTGTGGTCTGGTTGGTTACACGGCACAGTTTATAGCCTATCAGCACTAAATGTAATATAAAATGTAGAAAAAACTAACGCATTTTTGTGTTGTTTTTTGTTTTTTTTTTGTTTTTCCGTTTTTGTTGTCTTACTGCAAATGTATGTCGGTTATGGATCTCCCTTATTACTAACAATCAGCCAACACATTCAGCCAACTTGTGTGGAAAAAAAGCAAGACAGAAAGCAAGATAAAGACTGCTCGTAAAACAAAATAAAATATGCACACAATAAACAAGGCAGAATTCGATCCAATCCTAACATGAAATACTAAAATATTGATACCACTAAGAGCAAGCGAGAGCCACTGAAAACACCTTGAGATTTTTTTTCTTTAAAGTATCACTGGAGGTGAAATATTGGGCTGAAAGAGGCAAGCTATTCCAAAACTTTGGAGCCGCTGCCGCAAAAGCACAATCTCCCGTCTTCGTCCGGCGGCCTCGATCGCGGACCAGTTAAAAGCTTTGAGAACGTCAGAGGCCTGGAGGAAGAGCAGAGGCAGAGGAGTCATGCATGGCTTTACAAACAAATAAAAGAAGCTTAAAATCAATTCTGGATTTAACAGGCAGCCGGTGCAGGGAGACGAGTACGAGTGCGATGCTTTCCCCTTTATTTTTTTTTTTGCAGCAGCATTCTGCACCAGATTCAGACAAAACAGTGAGAACTGGCTGATACCCAGCTAGAGCGGGCTGCAGTAATCCAGCCTTGAAGAGCTGAGAGAGTAGATTTCAACAATGGAGAGAACCGAAATGGTGAACAAGACAAATATAGCACTTGTACATCAACATCTTAACGTGTCATTGTGAGCCTGCAACCATTGTGAGCAAAGATGCATTATGGGAAGTGTAGGATCCATGTTTTTTTTGTATGTTACTTGACTAATTTCAGGATCTCCCCTCTGAGATGTCAGTTTTTAAGGAAAAGCACTAATTAAGTGTTGGAACGCTCTTTGAATACTAAACACAAGTGTAATCTAACCACTGATGGGGCAGCATTAGCTTTAAAACACATAACTAGGGGTATCAGTTTGGCTGATTATCAGATCTGATATTCAGCATTTTACTGTTTAAGTGTTCCCAGAGAGGGGCTGCACGGTGAAGCGGTGGTTAGCAATGTTGCCTCGCAGCAAGAAGGTCGCCGGTTCGCATCCTGGTGAGGACGCCCAGGATCTTTCTTTCTGTGTGGAGTTTACATGTTCTCCCCGTGCAGTGTGGGTTCTCTCCGGGTTCTCCGGCTTCCTCACACAGTCCAAAAACATGTTGAGGTTAATTGGTGATTCTAAATTGTCCGTAGGTGTGAATGTGAGTGTGCTTGGTTGTCTGTCTCTAAGTGTAGCCCTGTGATAGACTGGTTACCTGTCTAGGGTGTCCCCTGCCTTCACCCTGAGTCAGCTGGGATAGACTCCAGCCCCTAGTGAGCATTAAACGGTGTATAGATAATGGATGGATGGATGTTCCCCGATACAATTACTTCATTTAAAAATGCTCCGTTTTGGCACCAATAGAGCCACCTCTCACTATGTGTGGTCATTACTCTGTGGTCTTCAGCAGCCTCATTTCTGATGTTATGCCCTAAAAGCAATAGTTTATCAACACCAAAGGAAACAAATCTGAAAAATCCAATTTAATAAAGGCATTTCAACAAAGTCTTGTGTTGGAGTTATTGAACATGGTGACACCAAGATTTAAATTTTTACTGCAAATGTACATCAGCTACAAATATCAGCCTCCTTGAGTGCTACTAAACAGTATCGCTGTTGTACTCAAGAAAATTCTCCACAACTTACAACAAGAATAACCTGCACATTGTACTCCTAAGTTCCAGTTTCTCTTCTTCTCTCTCTCTCTCTGTCAACACAAAGTCTCTCTAATGTAACACAAAGGTTAGGCCTCGTTGGACTAAGCGTCCCAACGAGTCTGAATGTGTTCGCTGCAGATTAGCAACCTACAGGGAGCGAAAAATAAAAAAAACAAAAAGTCCTCTATTCACCGAGGGATTTACTTTCCACAATAAGAGAAAAACATCTTTTCGAATGTTGCCGTGAAAATCTGATGCTCCACATTTATCGAATTACGCCGACTTCTTAGCCCGACAAGCGGCTTAACATGTGGCCGGACAGCTGTGTTTGTGCATGAACGGGCATGTGTGTGAGGACTCTCTAAAGGGGGTTTTAATCATGCGCGTGAGGGATTTGGGAGCGGGGTAACAGGTGGGCCGATTTATGCACATCAGACGTCTAGATATGACAACACACGCCTCGGCTTCCAGTCTGTGTTTGCTTGTTTCAGCTGACGGACGCGTCTCCCTTCACCCTCAACCTCTCCGACGGAGGACATGCGAACCTTCGGGGGAGAAAAGCAGCTGCTCGGCTTCATGCTAACATAACTCGCCCGCTGCAAGTTAAAAAAAAAAAAAACACTTCATGACTAATGGTGGGAAACTTGAGGCTATATCAATCTAGCAACTGTGTTAATTAATCCGCTGACGAGATAACAGGTAATTAATAGCATTGTGCTGCAGGATGTAATCGCTTACAGTCTGACTGGCCCGCAAAGCAACCGACTGAAGCTCATTAATGCCGTGACAAGTTTGATTGTGTGATGATGGAGGCGGAGGATGATTCATCTCGGAAGAAACGCAAAAGGACCGTCGCGTCTTGTGCTTCAAACAGCGGCGTTTAATTTGAAATTTGTTTACTGGGAAATCTCCGGGAATCATTAGGTTGATTTACACCCCCGAGGGTACAAAATTGTTTTTGGCGTACCGCGTTCAAGGACTCCGACTAAGACCATATCAGTGACTTGAGGAAAACGCTGCCTCTGAAAGATAGAGATTAGCCGCGTCACAATTCTGAGGCCACGCTCTCAGAAATGGAATTGTCTTAAGGCAGTTTTCAAAGCATTCTCGGGGTACAGCTCAGAAATGTCTTTTGGATGAATTTGAAGGTTGCAAGCAAACAAAACACTAGTTAGTTGGTGGCGTTGAGGTGATCCGTGTTGTATTTATCAGGTTGTCCATCAATCACGGCTAAAGTGCACCGATGAAAAGCCGGTGTTGGGGTAACTCTACAGACATGACCAAGCCAGACACTGGTGGTGTACAATTTCTGTTTCTGCAGCAGCTTCCTGCTATTCTATATCAAATGCAATGCTGTTTCTTCTCCTGCCTTCACAACAAAATGCCGTGCTACTCTCACAGCGTCTCCACAGAGCTTTATTTTCCCTCCACAGACTACAATGCCGAGCCAGTGTTTTCAGATTTAAACATTATTT